GATTGAATTAATTTTTATAACCCACTTCTTATATACTTTCTATTATTGGTGGTGTTGAGACTTTGTATAGCCTTTGTTGAGACAAAAGCCTGTACACTGCAGTTGTGCCTTTATGTGTCAAATTTAGATTAATGTTTTATTCCTCACTCTTATATACTTTTTATTAAGATCAGTGGTCTATAAAGCTAAATAACTTGACATATCTGTAATGTATAAAGAAGTCAGCTTCTTTTCACTTTCTACGAACAAAGAAATTATAAATACACAATGGGCAGAACTATGTTCTTTTTAGCCAAATGAACAAGATTGAAGCTTACATTGAGACCATGTAGAACCACTCTACTGTGTAAAGAGCATCGTCCAAACGATGGGGCCGGAAAGCCTGTTTTGGGCAAGACCAGGGTGGACGCTGTTATGGAAGTGCAATCATTCTATTCTTTTGGCCATTATAGATTGTTTTCTTTTTTTCTTAATATTTTGAGATTTTTGTCTTTTCCGTGTTCCGAAATATGTGCCCCCGAATTTTCTACTTAATCTCACTTTTTTGTTTCTGCTCACCTCCTGTAAACCTTCGCTACAGTAGTCGGATAAAAGTGCAAAATTCGGAGAGCAATATCGCGGAACACCACGCTGGTTATTCGAATTACACAAAATGAAAGTCTTGGCATACGACCGCCTCAAAGTTTGCAATAAAAACATATATCCTAACTATAGTAATTAAAAAGTTAAATACCGAAGTTTAGTTGATTCGTCCGATAATAGTGATGGTTATATTCCCACCAAGTGTCCGTCAAGCCAGATAAACACGCATCGAAAACCGCATTCATATTACTTTCCCCCCCTTTATTTAAAAACTTCGCGCAGCTAAAAAAATCAACAATAAAAAACACTGTGTTGTAACGTTTACTACAAGAATCCCAGATTCGGGACGAACTTCCTCGTGGAGACAAGAGCGTCCTTTCATACGGTGACTTCTACAGCGCCGTGCGTGACCGTCCCGGATTGGAACCGGTTTGGAGGAACAAATGGGCGCATCTTCCCCCGTTGCCTCTGGCGGTTGGGGTCCTCCTCTCTTTCGAAGAGGGAGGTGAGGAAAAGAAGTACAATGAGACGACGGCCAGAACGCGAACGCAAGCGAGTCTCTGCGCACGACATTTTGACTATTGAACGAAAGCTGTTCGCAGCGGAGTTAAAAAAAGTGTTGTTGTTGTACTCAAGTAGCGCCTCATCTGCCAGCAAGAGAAAACAGCTGTAACAGAAAAATTGATGCTGGAAACCCGAGATTACAGCACTATGAACACTTGGAACACCGAAAGAAAAGTGAGTGATTCTTCCTTCTACTAGAACGACTGCACGGAAGTTCACAAGAAAAAGCGCCAGGCGGTTCGGTCACAAGTGACGCGGCTAGAGAACGACGTTGAGGCGTTGCTGCAGTCTGCGCAACCCAACAGCGAGAACCTAAAGCTACTCATCGCACGATTGATCCTGAAGCAGGGTGAACGTAGCATCGCCGACGCCGCCATCGAACCACTCATTTCGGAGTAAGACGAAGACCTCGACTTCACTCACGTCCTCGAATATGCGGACAAGATCGTGACACTACATGACGAAGATGAAAAGCCAGCTAAGATGCAGTGCGGAACGCGACAATCCAGCCAACGAGAGTAACCTGATTGGAAGCACTAACAGATCGGCAACGCTGCAGCGAAGTCGAGAATCAAACTCCCAAAATTTGAACTTCTGAAATGCAACGGTCAACGGAAGAAATGGCAGTCCTTTTGGAGAACAGTTCGAGAACGCCACCCATCTGAACTCAGACCTATCGCCGGCGGAAAGGTTCAACTACCTGCGATCAGCGCTGAGTGGCGATGGAGCAGCTGCCATTGCCGGCTTAACAGCCCACCACACAGTGGTACTCCGACGCCGTGGACCTCCTGCGGAAGACGTTCGGAAGCCAGGAAGCACTCATCCAAGTCGACATGGAGGGCCTAATGGGTATTCCTCATGTGCCGTCGTCACGGAACCCTAAAGGCCTCAGACGTTAATATGACAACCTATACGCTCCCGAGGACTCAAGGAGTTAGGGGTGAGCGAGGACTCCTTCTGTGCAATGCTCTGCCCGGTTTTACGTTGTGCTCTCCCAGATGACATGCTTCTGGAGTACAACCTGAAGATGGCTGCGGTGGACACAGAGGACGACATTAGCCGGGGCCGGCCGCTTTGGATACAAACTATATAGGATTAAATGTCTGAAATTTCCAGAATAAAAGTCTACATGAGTTTTAGCAAACCTTTTCTATTTACAATGTATCCACCTTTTTATCGCGTTTCTTGAGCTAATTGGCCGACCACTCGGGATCAAAAAGCTGTAGACTGAAGTGTCTGAACTTTGAATAGAAGATCTACAGACATTATAGCAGTATTTGCTATCCACAATGTATCTCCATTTTGAACGACTTTCTTTACTTAATTGGCGCGTCAGTTTCAATACAAAAGGTATTCAAATACCTTTTGTACCTTCATACCTTCGAATACCTTCAAATACCACAGGGGCACGATATACTAACAATATTTAAAGAAAAATCTATAGGTCGTTTTTATTACACAAATCTCATCTTGGGGGGAAGGAATTTTATTTTTGGCATATCTAAAATCTTTTCTCGTTGATATTTATGACATATTCGAATACCTTAATGCGTATTTCCAATGTGGGCAAAATAATACAGAATGAGTACAAAATTAATATTCATATTCAATATATTTCAGCTCTGTTTCAAGTACAGCCTCCTTTTGCTAAGGGAGTGTTGAGCGTTCTGAACACAAGACTGGAATTATCGCCGATATGACCGTGTGTTCGCGTATCAGTGGTGTAACAGCAAGATGAGATTACGTAAACTGTCGGGCATGGATGCCGCTGGTCGGGCCGTGATCCGAGGGGGCGGGGTGCCCCAGATTGACCTTCCGCTTTACATGAAAGAGTTAAAGACCCCTTGAGGTAATTAGGTGCAATCGTGCCACGAGCGGACAGTCATGTTGGAACGCTGGTCTGAACCTTAAGCTCCTATTGTAGAGTGGTCAATGTGACTGTCGGTTGTCTCCTCCCTGAGAGCGATAGCGCTCTGGGGAAAGGACTGAACAGTAGAAAAATTTGACGGAAAGCACGTATATTTACAGCTTGAATTTTGAGCATTAAGAAAGAATGGTAGGTAAAATCGAAAAAAATAAAGCTATCCTTTATTTTGTTGTTTAAATATACTACGGTTCCTGGAGATATTGCCCTCCAAGTGGCGCGCTGGGATGAGCGCTAGAAGTTTTCGAACTCACCACGGCTTAGCTCCGTACACTTAACACCTGCCGCAAGTCGCGGCTTTGACTGCATTCAAGTTGATCAAAAAGCGATTTCTCTGCCCGTGAAGCATCTCTTCCAGCTGAGTGAATATCCGCTCTACAGAAATCCATTACAGGCGACAATTGCAGCCGTGCGCGAACAGCACAAATATAAAAATGAACACTACAATAGAAATATTGGCTACGACGTGCCGTGCGGGGAAGCAAACGCATGGCTTGGAATTGCATCGGAGCTGCTTGAGTTACTGGCTATCAAGTAACTGCGACTTAATCGAGAATTTACTTTTTACTAAGAGATTCATCCCCTGAGCCATTCCAAATACTCTCAGAGGTATGACATTGCTGGAAAGAAATTAACATGCTGGGAATATTTTGTTTTCCTTAGGCAGTCACCGAGAAATTTCGCACGCTCAAAATGACCAGTATAAAAGACGGAAACACAGAGCTCTGTGTTTCCGTCTTTAATGTTCAGCTGCTGCTTCTAGTAGGCGTAATGTGTCTATATGTGTGTGCTATAAAGGTTGCCGAATATCCCGAAGCGCAATGGTGGCATGAGGAAATAAATTAAAGTATTTTCTTTGTATACCATGAATTGAGCGGTACCTAGCGCCACCTAGCCTAGCTACTTGAATTACTCTGCTTGACCCTACCATCTGGTGGCCATCGATTTAAACTTTTCTCACGCGACGTGATAACAGCGGCTTCGAGTTTGTTCTTTTGAGAGCGGCTTTTGGTTTCGCAGATTGGTTAGCCATTCTTTTTTTGATGTGCGGTTGACGAAGGAATTGTGACTCGAGGAACAGCAAATGTAAGACGGAAAGTGCGCGAACTGGGTATCGGTTGTTTCCGCTTAACATCGCAGTGCTGACGAAAAGAAGATTGAGTAACTGCTTTTTAAACGCAAGTTTCTTTACCTGTGAGGGGAATCTGGCTTCGGAAATAAACACAGTTCAAGAAAAGCTCGTGTTACGCTTGTATTTGCTGCGCCTCTTGTCCCGTACAAGAAACGTAGCGTCCTCGTTACGCCTTATTGAGCTCGATTTGCTTGATTTGGGGCCGCCATATTGAATTCGGTAGCAGTGCACCACGAGCGCACAGCTAACTACCACCGCCTTCATTTGCAGAATTTCCGGACCAACAACACAAGTCATTGCGCACTGCCTCGGTGCATCAAGATCAGGGACCACAGCGCCTTCAACGTCAGCGACAGGAACGGCGGGACGAATTTGCGTCAGTTCGGCAGCAGTGCACCACGAGCGCACATCTAACTACCACCGCCTTCATTTGCAGGTGAGAATTCATGAAAGTTAGTCCCAAAAATTTCGCACAATTTTTTCTTTGAGAGCACTGCTGCCGAACACAGCAAAGTTTACCGTTTGTTGGTGTAGTGTTCGTGCGAGTGGACGAACAAGATTGACGAGAGCAGCTCGGCGAGTGGCGAGGTGGAATGACTTTATTCCATGACGGAGCGAGCGAGAAGGAGCACGGCCGGCAGGCATGCGTAACTTATAGCATGTCATCAGAGAGGGGAAGGGTAGGCAGAGGAGGAGCGATCAGAAGAAAAAGGGGGCGTGTCATACGTGCTTAAACGCGCGTAATACAACGTAACACTCCTCGGGCCTAAATAAGTTTGTTCTACACTCAACAATAGGCTAGGGCGCGTGGCGGTCCGGTGGCCTCCGTTGGCGAGAAGGGTATCGCCGCTCCTCTTGCTGAGCTGGTTCCGCTGGTGGTGGTCGAGCAGGAGCCACTTCTTGTGGTGCTGGAGTCTGGCAGGCCTCTGGTACCTCGGATTCCCTGAAAGGTCCCAGTGGCGTGGAGATGTCCTCTTCCGGTGGCACCCGAACAATGTGGTCCTTGTGTCGCACCCACTGAATCACACCTCGCGGCGTGGTTACACACAACTTGTAGGATACCGGCCCGGTTTGGGCTAAAATCGTAGCTCTAAACCACCTGTCACCACGTCGAAAATTTCGGACCCGCACACTGTCGCCTACCGAGAACCGTTTACTGAGCCGACCGTTTGAACGCCGTTTTAGCGTCTGGGTAAACTGCCTTGCAGAAACAGTTTCCCTGTTTGAAAGCTTGACAACATCTAGCCGTGTGCGGAGACGCCTGCCCAGCAATAGGACGGCCGGCGCTTCCCCGGTTGTGGTGTGCGGAGTGTTCGGGTAAGCCAAAAGAAAGTCCGCCAGTGCCTCGTTCACTGGGAGGGCTGGATCTTTGCGCAGTGCGACCTTCAAAGACTGGACAAAACGTTTGGCTTGGCAATTACTACTTGGATGGTACGGTGCCGTGCGAATATGACGTGTACCGATCCTGCACATGTAGCTTGCGAATTCAGCAGACGTGAATTGTGGTCCATTATCTGACACGAGCGTTTCTGGGAACCCAAAACGACAAAATAGTTCGTGCAAAGAGTTTATGGTTCGTTCGGTAGTTGCCTGCTTCGTTGTGAAGACTTTCGGCCATTTCGAATGAGCATCCACAACAACAAACAGCATGACACCTCTATACGGTCCCGCAAAATCCACGTGGACTCGTTCCCAGGGACGAGTGGGCCACGCCCACGGGTGTAGCGGAGCAGGGCAAGGCAAATTACGCTGCAGCTGGCAAGGCTGGCCTGCGCCTACGTGTCGCTCGATGTCCTGATGAATGGTCGGCCACCACTCGTAGCTTCGTGCCAGCTCCTTTGTCCTGACAACTCCGGGGTGTCCTTGGTGCAACTCCTCGAGCATGAAGGACTGGAAACGTCGCGGAATGACGATACGGGTACCAAGCATTAGGCACCCTTGCTGCAATGAGAACTCGCAGCGCCTGTAGAAAAAAGGCTTTAGATCGTCACTCGGCGCGCGATTCGGCCAACCGTTTGCCACGAACTGCACGATCTGCTTCAACACCGGGTCCCTGTTTGTCTTGCGAGCCACATCACGGTGGTTAACCGGTAGCGTACTGAAGCGTAGTCAGAAGAAACATTCTTCTGACGGCTCTTCGCTATCGCCGTTTTGACCTTGAAGAGGCAGGCGTGATAAGCAATCTGAATCGGCGTTTTCCTTTGATGACTTGTACTTTAGCGTAAACGTGTACGCGGAAAGGAGAACTGCCCAGCGCTGTAGTCTGGCTGCTGCTAGGGTAGGGATACCGGTCTTCGGTCCCAGGATGGTCTGCAAGGGCTTATGGTCCGTTACAAGAACAAAACTGCGCCCATAGAGGTAGTAATGAAATCGTTTTACACCGAATACCAGTGCTAACGCTTCCTTTTCTATTTGGCTGTAGCCTTCTTCCGCTTTAGTCAAAGTCCGTGACGCGTAAGCAATCGGACGACACTGCCCATCTGGAGCGACGTGAGACAGGACCGCGCCGACGCCGTACGCTGAGACGTCGCCGGACAGCTGCAACGGTGCTCCAGGATCGTAATGAGTCAGCACCGGCGGAGAGGACAGCAGCCTCTTCACTTCCTGGAACGCAAATTCACATTTGTCGCTCCATGACCAGCGCACGTCGCCGCGCAAAAGTCGATTGAGAGGAGCAACCACGCTGGCAAGGTTAGGAATAAATTTTCCGTAGTAATTCAGTAGTCCCAGCAACGACATCAACTGGTGCGTGTCAGCTGGCCTCGGCGCTTTCATGATAGCTTCGACCTTATCAGTGGCTGGCTGAACGCCGCCTCGGCTTACGATATGCCCCACGTACTGCAGCTATCCTTGAAAAATTCACACTTCGACAGTTTTACTTTGACGGCTTTCTCAGATAAGCATTGCAACACAGCCTCCAAATTGCGGAGGTGTTCTTCGTCAGTTTTTCCTGTTACCATAATGTCATCGATGTAACAAGTGACTCCTTCGAGACCCTTCAAGATATTGTCCATTATTCGCTGGAATATCGCCGGTGCGGACGCGATGCCAAACGGAAGGCGATTTACGACGTAGAGTCCCTTGTGAGTGTTCAAAGTTAGGTAACTCTTAGATGACTCATCCATTTCTACCTGCTGGTATGCTCGGTTGAGGTCTAGCTTCAAGAAATTTTTTCCTCCGGCCAGGACAGCAAATAATTCTTCGAATTTAGGGAGCGGATAGCTCTCGGAGTATAGGATAGGGTTTAGCGTGACTTTATAGTCGCCGCAAAGTCTAATAGAACCATCACGTTTGATGACTGACACTACAGGTGTCGCGAACTGACTGCTGGCAACGGGAAAGATTATGCCTAATGTTTCAAGCTTATTAAGTTCGTCTTCTTCGGCTGCACGTAATGCAAACGGTACCGTTCTAGCCTTCAAAAATCTAAGTTTTTGATCGTTTTTGAAATAAAGACGGGCTTTCTCACCATTGATTTTGCCGAGCTCGTCGCTGAAAATATGCTTGAATCTTTGCAGAAGCCGCTCAAGTTCAGCTGGAGGCTTGTTCGAAGTTGGCGAAGCGCGCGTGACTGCTTTGACGTCTCGAAAGCGGTCCCAGTCAAGCTGGACGTGTTGAAGCCACTCTCGTCCCAAAAGCGGTTGTCCGGTCTGCGGTACAACATAGAGTGGCAACAATTTTTTTTCCGTGCCGCTGCTTTCGAGGTTGACATGTAGCACGCCGTTTGGCTTGATGACTTGTCCCGTGTATGTGCGCAGCCGAAGAGGCGTTTTCTCGAGGCGCAGACTTGGGAAAAGTCGCTTGTGAAGGCTGCTAGAAATAATCGATACGGCTGCACCCGTGTCCAGTTCCATCGACAACGGAGTGCCTTGAACTTGAACTTCAACCATGATGGGCGTAGACCGAGCAGATGCTTTGACGCCGTTGAGAGGGAACTCATCTTGGGTTTCCAAGAACCTGAGTGGAAAACGTTTCTTGGGCGACCTTGTCTTTGATTTGCACGCTCTCTGTACGTGCCCCTGACGGTGACACTTGTAACAAGTTTCTTGTGCGTGTGGACACGTCGTGGCTTCGTGTTTGGGTGAACCGCAGCGAGAGCAATGCGCCGTTATCACCCATGGCTTGGGCCCCGAGCTGCGCAGCTTGTTCAGTTCGGCGGCGCTGTCTGACCTTGAGTGGGTCGCTGATGCGTTCTTGACAGCTGCCTCGAGTGACAAAGCACGTTCGACGGCTTATTGGAATGTGAGGTGCTTATCTTCACTGAACAAGTGCCGCTTTATATCTACTCGTCGGAGGCCGCAGACAAAGCGGTCTCGGAGTGACTCATCAAGAAAGTTTCCAAATTCGCACGTTTGTGCCAGTCGTCGTATCTCGGCCACGAACTCTGAAATGGATTCATCTTCCGTTTGCGACCGTCGGTGAAATTTCGCTCTCTCGCCAATTACGGACGGCTTGGGTGATAAATGGTTGCGCAGTAGTTGCCGCAATTCTTCAAAGGACTTTGACGACGGTGTTTCCGGAGCAGTCAAAGACTTGAGAAGGGCGTAAGTTTTCGGTCCGATCAAACTCACGAAGGCGTCTACTTGCAGTTCTGTCGGAACCTTGTTGGCTCGTAGAAAAGACAACACGCGCTCTTCGTAGGAGAGCCAGTCACTAGTAGACTCATCAAAATGTTCCACTTGCCCGAAACTGGTGGTCATGGCCTCGGCGTCGACGGCGCTTTCGGTGCTTTCGGCGCTGTCTTGGTTGGTTAGCTGGCCATCTCTTGGTTCTTCTTCAGAAGTCATGATCCCAAGGCAGGTTCGGTGTCCTCGTCGCCATTATGTAGTGTTCGTGCGAGTGGACGAACAGGATTGACGAGAGCAGCTCGGCGAGTGGCGAGGTGGAATGACTCTATTCCATGACGGAGCGAGCGAGATTTTTTTTATTTTTTTTATTTGCTATTTTGGTTCATCGAGTGACGGAGATGTTAGCTAGGGCTTATTTGCCCCCGCTTGCTACTCTGTTTCTGTTATAGGTGGCGACCTTCTTGAGCGTCCTTCTGCGTCTACAGTGTTTGCAGCAAACAAGTTGATTCCAAGTAATCAGTATTTTAAACGCCCGTGCTTGCTTTCGAGTGTTGGTGCAGGGTCCTAGCACCTTTCGCATGGTCATTGGTTGGTCATCCAGGAGATTCAGTTCCTTAGTGAGTATCACACGATCTTTCTCGTATCGTTTGCAGCTAACGAGTACATGTTCGATTGTGTCCTCGGTCTGGCAAGTCACGCAGTTTGGAGAATCTCGCTGCTTGTACTTGTAGCGTTGGCGGCCAGTCCGGGCGACCCCAAGGCGAAGTTTGAAATAAACTGAAAGTTGGTTTCGAGGTGTGCTCCAAGAGATTCTTCTTTGAAGCTTGGGGTCCAAGTTGTACAGGTGATAAGGGTGGCCCCCAGGTTGCTCCCAGATTTTTACCGTTATCTGGTTTGCGACAACAAAGAGAACGCTATTCACATCAGCTTTCGCAACGGGAGTGGCCTCTGTTCTTTCGTTTTTGTGCGCCCGAGCTGCTGTCATATCGGCTATCTCGTTGCCAGTGACGCCAACATGTCCTGGGACCCATTGATATGAAATGGGATACCCCTTTTTGTGCAGGGTGTCGTTCTTATCGAGTATAGCCTGTTGCAGGCACGGGTATGCGCACTTTTTGGCTGTGGTTGATAGGGATGCCAGCGCCGATTTTGAGTCCGTGCACACCACATAGCTCTTCGGAGAAGTTGCCTCTATGTAGTGTAACGCTTTCAAGATGCCGTGGAGCTCGGATGCCGTGGACGATGTACGGTGGGAGAGTTTGTACCCTTCCGAAATGCTCGCATCCGGCACGTAGATTGCAGAGGACGAGCTCATCGCAGTGCTTGATCCATCTGTGTATATCTAGATGGCGTTCTTGTAGTTCTCTTCAATGTAATATTGAGTGAGGAGCTGCTTCACAAAACCGAAGGCTGTGCCTTTGCCTACGTCCGGTATTGAGAGGTGGACCGTTGGGGTCAGCCATGTCCAAGGTGCTCGCTGGGGGTGACGATACGGAGCAGCGTTCGCCGGAAAGGCTTCGACGTGGTTTCTTACCACTTCCGCAAAACTCGACGCTGGACGTCATGTGTGCAGGCCCGCCAGATGATGCGCTTCGTCCTGGGTTGAAAAACGACTGTAGTGCCGGAAGGTCTCTTGAACACGGAGCGCCTCTATACGTTGTTCGTGCGCTTCTGCTATAACTCCTGCAGAAGGCGACGCTCGGGGCACTCCCAGCACATCGCGGAGGCTTCTTGCCTGCAGTGCCAAGAGTCCCCGTTGGGTTGTTGAACTGACCCGGTGCAGGAAAGGCAGACTGTAGCGCAGACTTCCCAGTACCATTGATCTGTGTAGCTGCATGAGGGCGGCTGAATTTCCCCATGTCGAGCCAGAAAGGCACCGCATGATGTTCACGTACGAGTTGACCTTGCATCGAAGTCTGTTCATTTCAGGTGCCCACGTGAGCCGCCTGTCGATAACTATTCCAAGAAAGGTGTGCTTGCTGACGTAGGGGATAGTTTGCTCTCCTATGTGTATGGGAAAACGCTTGTAACTTCGCCTGGTGAAAGCCATAGCGACGCATTTGCTGGGCGACAGGTGTAGGCCTTTGCAGTTCAGGTATCTTTCGATTCTGCTGAGTGCTCTCTGGAGTCTTCCACAGATTACTGCGCGGTTCGGGCCCGAAGACCAGATACACAGATCGTGGGCATACATCGACATCTTTACATGCTCTGAAAGTTCCTGCGGCAGGTGGGCCAGGACGACGTTAAAGAGTGTGGGGCTCAAGACGCCCCCTTGTGGAACGCCGGCAGTTACGGAGAAACAGTCACTGTTACCTTCTGTGGTGGTTAGGTAAATTGTGCGTCCTTGAAGGTAGTCCATGATCCAGTTGTAGATTCGACCATGTACGTGGAGTTTAATGAGGGACGTGAGTATTGCTGAGTGTTCCACGCTGTCGAAAGCAGCCTTTATGTCCAGAAACACAGCTACCGTGGAGAGACGACAGCTCCGATGCTGTTCAACATCTGAGACTAAGTCCACGACGCCGTCAATGGCAGAACGGCCACGACGAAACCCCGACATGCACTCGGGGAAGACCCCTGACTTTTCAAGGTACCAGAGCAGACGGTTTAGGATCATACGCTCCATCAACTTCCCAATGCAGCTGGAAAGCGAAATGGGGCGGTATGACTCAAGCGACAGAGGCGATTTTCCTGCTTTCAGGATGGGAACGAGGCGAGACTTCTTCCATGACTCTGGGAGCTGTCCTGTGTTCCAAATGACGTTGTATTGTTGCAGGAGGGCTCCGAGGGCGAGGGGTCCCAGATTGGCTAGCGCCTTGTATGTAACACCATTCGGGCCTGGAGAGGTCTGTTGGGAACACTCCTGTAGAGCACTTTTGAGTTCCCTCATGCTAAAAACCTCGTCTAGCTCCGGTAGCACGGCGACTTCAGTGGTTTTCTCGTGTGACAATCCGCTCGCAGGGCGCCGCTGCTGGAGCTGGCAGAAAGCATTGGCTGCAGTACGCTCAGTGATTCCTTTTGAAAGTGCCCAGGCTCGGAGGGGAAACGTCTGCCTGGGTGTTTTCTTGAGCCCTCGGGTCACGTTCTATAGTCTCGTTGACGGCTTGTGAGGGTCCATTGAACTGCAGGTACCTCTCCAACGTCGCATAGAGAGTCGAATTAAGTGTCGCCGTACGACCGCCAGGGTTCGTCGTGCTTCCGCCCAGTCCGCGGCTTTACCAGTTCGCCTGGCACGTCGTTCAGCACGACGTCGAACCGCTCGCAACTTCTCATAATCTGCGTCGATCGCAAGGTATTTGGCGGGGAGTTTCACCATTTTCGTGCTGGATGTCAATGATGATGTTATGCGGGCAGTGATGTCTGTATCTCCTGCACCATTTTTATATGCTGACTCTGTTTCGTTTCTGAAACGACCCCAGTCTGTATATGGAATTCTCCGGTTGTGCCTTCTACCTCCAAAGCCGTCGAGGGAGATGAGTAGAGGCAGGTGGTCGCTGCCCCTGGTGTCATGATCTGTCATCCATCGGACGGGAAGACGGAAGTGCTCAGAAACCGCAGTGATATCAATGGCGCTCTTGAGCTCTCCCCGAAGAAAAGTGTATGTTCCATCATTAAGGACCCCCATGTTCCAATAGCTGAAAATGTCTTCTAGGAGTCTTCCTCTAGCATCAAGTTTATCTCCGTCCCACAGCGGGTTGTGTGTGTTGACATCGACACAGAGAAGAAAAGGTCCATCAATTTCCTGCAGCACGGCCTGAAATTCCTCGCCAGAGAAATGCACTCTTGGCGGAATGTAGATCGCGATGATTGTGAAAGATATGTTTTTGTACTGAAGCTTTAGGCACACGTAATTGGCTGTAGTGTGAAGGGAGACTTCTTTACTGGCAACTGAAATGTCTGTGCGCACACACACGGTGATACGACTTTTTCCCGATCAGGAACGGAATGATGGCACTCATATCCGGAGGTGCGGAGCGTTGAAGATGCATTTGATTCGATAAAGATTGCAATGGGCGTTTCATACTTTCGTACAAAGTCTCGTACATCAGGCAGTTTGTTTCGTAGGCCGCGCACGTTCCACTGGAGCACAGTTCATTCGCGGTATATTTGATGCATAAAAAGTCCTTCTACAGAGTCTAGACGTCGTTCACTAGCGTGCTCTTTAAGTACGATACCTGTGGTGTTCGTTGCGTGTGCTGTAGGTAACTCATTTGTAAAAGTTTGATGCCTAGCAAGCTCCATCGCAGAGCCATTGCTGAACCAGTGTGATTATTTGGAGAATCGCTCGCACCACAGGGGAGTCAAACGGCTTCAGAAGTTCCGTGACCACTGGCATTACAGTTCGTGCAAGGGTTCCCAGTGAGGAGATCAGGCTGGGCTGTTCGTTGCCGGTCGCGCTTCGGGAGGTTTTACGGTTGCTGGTTGGCTGTGATTGCGCTTGAGCACAGGCAGTGCGGAGCGCATGACTGTATGAATTCCGCTGTGCTGTGCGCTGCGATGAATGTTGGGATGTACCTTGCTCTCTAATGCTATTTGGAGGCTCCAAGCGCTGTTCTCTCGATGCACCTTGTTCCCGAGAGACTGATTCAGGGTTTGATGATGCACGCCGTGCAGGGTGCGAACTCCGTGTTTCACTCTGTGATGAGTTGCTCTGCTCGGGGGGGAGGTCCTGCGTCTCATCATAAAGGTCACTGAAACGGTTCTGGAGAATGATCACGTTGTCGTGTTCGATGTTGCGCTGGCCGCGGCTTCGGACGGCAGCTCGGGCAGTTTTGAAGTCTACTTTGTTAATTGTTTTGTACTTGTTTACGGCTTGTTCTTGTTGCCAGATCACACAGTCTTTTGATGTTGTCTCATGTGCGCCCTTGCAGTTCACGCAGTTGGCCCTTTCGGCTTCGCATCTTTCGCTCGCGTGGGAGCCAGAGCATCTGGTGCACACCTCGGGGCGAGTGCAAACTGCCTTGACGCGTCCAAACTTGCCACACTTCCTGCACTGCGCTGGTCGATCAACGTATAGTTCGACCTCTTGTCGTACTCTGCCCAGAAATACGTGTTCCGGTAGGGTCGCAGAAGCGAAAGTGACGCGAACCGTTTCTGTGTCAGCAAAACGACGCACCTGCGTGATTTTCGTCGTGTTCGCACTTAGGTTCCGAAGTAACACTTTCTCCGAGATGCTTGCGTCAGCGTCCCGAATAATGCCCACAGCAGTGTTCGGATTC